ATGTTGCAGAGCCCTTTATCTCGGTTCCCTTAAGACATTGGTGTATATGGTACTAAGAAAAATTGCTTATGTTTTCAAAATCTACACGTCGTGTAAAGGAAAACCCCAACTTTGCGGACACCCTGTATATCCTTGTTTTCGTTTCTGGTGAGATATTTGTTTCTCCATATTGTATTGTTGAGAGATCCTGCTGCTCTGTTCGCCATGTTCACTTGTTTTTGTACTTCTAAGTATTGTCTACATTCAAAAGTCTTAAAATTAACGTGCACCAGTGGCGGAGATACAGGGGATTAGTGGTATTATTTTTCCAAATAAAAATAGTACGCCACTGTTTTTTTTTTCGAAACGCGCAATTTTTCAAATTTTACCTTCAATTTGCTACAAATAATTACTCTTGTGTTTTGTCCTAGAGTGCATTGTTTTCGTAAATATAAAAAACAGATTTGACAATCTAAGCTTTATTTCAATAAATGTTTAAAAAGACCACCATTCTGACGGATACAAGTGCAGCATCTTTTTAAGAAAAAAAAACGTATTTCCGCAAAATTTGTTGTGGCTTGAATTTGATGAAACGCATAATCTATTCTTTCTTGTAACTGATCAACAGTATTAACTTTTTCAGCATACACTAGTTGTTTAAAAGCGCTCCACAAAAAGAAATCCAAGGGGTTCAAATCAGGACCTCGCAGTCCAATGCACGGGTTCGTTTCTGCCAATCCATCGTTGACTAAAATGACTATTTAACCATGTCACGACGAACATGCGGTGGGACACCGTCGGGCTGATACCACATTCGTACTCTCCTTGCTCACAGAACGTCATCCAACACATTTTAAGTATGACTTTGCATTTAAACGTTGTGGCAATACGTGCATAAACGGTCGGCCATTGAAAGTGCCGCACCAGACATTTCTAGAAAATCTGTGTTGAAACGAGTGGGTTCTTATAGAACGGGGATTGTCTAACGACCAAATATACAGGGTGTTTCAGTTTATTGTTGCATAACTTTAAGATTCGATAGAACTTTTAAAATTAATGCATAAAGTCTATATAAACATGGGTCGAAAAATGCGTGGCTTCCGAAATACAGGGTGTTTAAATTTACTTTTTAAATCAGTTTTTTTTTAATATTTCGAACAATATTTGATATATAACAGTAAAATTGGTATTCAAGGGTTTTTTGGTACGGCAAAACGAACCATGGGCATAGTTTTACTGTAGCCGCTAGAAAGCGCTCTTTTTTCTTAGTGCAATTTTTTGCTTTTTTTTCTTCGCACTTTTCAACATAAAAAAGCTCTCTTGTGAATTTTCGTTATAGTTAGCCGTTTTTGAGATATTTCGATTTTTAAGGTTCGATGCATTTTTAATTATTTATGGGAAAATAATATTTTTTTTACATTTTCGATTTGGGCATTACAAGTAATTAAGATGATCGTTTAGATTGTGTTTTTAAACACAGCAATAATTCCTAACTCCAAATAAACACAAAAAAACGGAATATTAATTTGTTTAATTTTCCAATATTATATTTTTAACAAATTAAATTAATTATTTACAACTAAAATGCTATTGGATAGTTAGGACAAACATACAAAATCTAAAGTAGTTGCTCGAAATGTAAACACAATACACATCTACGAATGATCGAACGTGGTATAGCATTATTCAAGTAAGGCCTTATTTCATCACATGCATTCCTGATTCTGTCTATTAGCATATCTCTTGTGGATACGGGAGTCTGGTACACTTTTTCTTTTAGAAATCCCCACACAAAGAAATCTAATGGATTTAGGTCAGGGGATCGTGGAGGCCAGGCGACTGGTCCTCCACGACCGATCCATCTTTCTGGATAATTTTCGTCCAGCCAGTTTCTAACTATTCTCGAATAATGAGCTGGACAACCATCAAGCTGGAACCAGGCCAATCTTCTTAAATCTAACATAACATCATCCCACATATTTGCATGTTCAGCCTTTAAAAATTCCAAGAAGGTCGCAGCATGTAACCTTGCAGGCAAAAGGTGGGGTCCAAATAGTCGATTACGGTAGATACCAATCCACGCGTTCACACTAAATTCATGCTGAAAATTTCTTTCCCGAACTGCATGGGAATTTTCATGCGACCAAATATGTTGATTATGAAAATTTACCACTCCACGTGTAGTGAAGCATGACACATCGGTCCATAAAACGTTACTTAAAAACTCCCTATTATTATCAGTTCTATCAAGAATCCACTGACAAAATGTGATTCTTCATTCTCCGTCCTCTGGCTGTAGTCCTTGCACAGGTTGCAAATGGTAAGGACGTCTATGGTCATTTCTAAGAACACGGTGAACATGGCTTGCTGAAATTCCCAAGGCACCAGAAACTCTCCTAACACTTGTGGTCGGATCTCTATCAAACTCACGTAGAATCATACGGGTAAATCTGCGCTGACGAACATTTATGTTTTGATCCCTTTGGAGATTTCCAAAACCATTTTCAATTATTTGGCGATGCACTCTTACAAATACTGAGCGAGTTGGATGTCGTCTGTTTGGAAATCTTCGTGCGTATTCTCTGGCTGCTTCTGCTGCGTTTACATTTACAAAGCCATACACAAAATGAATATCCGCTAACTCTTGATTGGAGAATAAAAATGCATTCAGAATTGCAAAAAAACGTTTCAGGTTTCAACAGACAACAAAACTAACTGTCAACTAATTGACGTTTAACCTTATTCTGCTTTCAATTTCAAAAATATTTGCAGGCACAGCCTACTTCTAATAATTATCGAGATACTGACTTTTTAACGTTATTTTATCATAAATAATTAAAAATGCATCGAACCTTAAAAATCGAAATATCTCAGAAACGGCGAACTATAACGAAAACTCACAGGAGAGCTTTTTTATGCATAAGTGCGAAGAATCAGTTTTTTTGTTCAAAAAGCAAAAATTGCACTATGAAAAATTTTTTCGGTCATTTTAATACACTACAGGTACAGTAGAGAGCGCCCTCTAGCGGCTACAGTAAAACTATGCCCATGGTTCGTTTTGTCGTACCAAAAAACCCTTGTATACCAATTTTCACTGTTATACATCAAACATTGTTCGAAATATTTAAAAAAAACTATTTTAAAAAGTAAATTTAAACACCCTGTATTTCGGAAGCCACGCATTTTTCGACCCATGTTTATATAGACTTTATGCATTAATTTTAAAAGTTCTATCGAATCTTGAAGTTATGCAACAATAAACTGAAACACTCTGTATGTTCATTATGAATTGAAAATGCCGCACGAGACATTTCTAGAAAATCTGTCTTGAAACGAGTGAATTCTCACAGAACGACGATTTTCTAACGCCCAAATATGTTCATTATGAGAATTAAAGGTTTCACTCCTCGTGAAAAGCGATTCATCTGAAAACAAAACCAAATCAATAAAATCTGCATTTTGATTACAGTAACCACTCACAAAGATTTTGCCGTTGCGCAGGAAAAAACACAAAAGTAATTATTTGTAGCAAATTGAAGGTAAGATTTGGAAAATTGAGCGTTTCGAAAACAGTGCCGTACAATTTTTATATGGAAAAATTATGCCACTAATCTCCTGTATCTCCGCCACTGGTGCACGTCAATTTTAAGTAAGGACTTTTGAATATGGGTAATACTTAGGTAAATCCACATATCAAAATTTAGTTCATTCTAGTCGACGGTTTTGAGGATATTAAAAAAAAAATTATTAATGAAACGAGAAAAAAATGTCACATATAAAACCTCATTTCAAAACGCGGTCCTGTGTATGATGTTTCATTTTTGGTCACGACTTCTGAATCAATCTGTATACATTATTCAGTAAGATCGATTTTGTGCTTTTAAATTCCAAATACTATCCAAATATACTTTTAAATATAAATAATTCATTAAAACCAGGCAACTACTTTTACCTAAACCAATTAAACAAATTTAATGATTCTAATCATTTTACTTGGAACAGGTAGACTCATTCTAATAGTTCGTTGATTTTAAATAAATTGGTGTAATTAATCTAAATATACGATTTGATAAATTCAGCAAGACAATTAAACAGACAATTAAATTAGTACAATAGATTCAAGTAAACTGTTTTAGAAATCTGAGTTTGATTAAACTAATTAAACTTGTTATCTGTCACATGGTTAATAAATTTTTAGTCTGCCTAATTATAATTTTAATTAACTTAAATAAATGCTTTCGCAATATGTGAAAACGGTTGCTGGGCCGGGTCATTGGAGAAACATTTTATAAAAGATATTACATCCTGATAATATAATATACAGGGTGACTTTGAAGTTGAGTCATTAATTTTCAGATAATGATTGTAGAAGGAAGATAAACCAAAATATGTGTGTAAAAATAAAAAAAAATTAAAAAAAAGGTTTACCTTGTTTTATAAAGTATCCTCCAGACAAGTATTTCAGTGCGGACCTGTATTTGATCGTGAGGTCCCCTGTGAGGTCTTGAGTCACCTGATTCACAAGCCCGTTGTACTACATTAACAAAGGCACGAGGGGTTGGTTGCACTCGATTGGGAAACCGATCCGCATAAACATGTGCCATTTTTTATTTCGTTTGAGCCACGCAACAGACACTATTCACACGCGTTACCGACTGACACTGACTGTATGTATAACTGAACTGAATAAAATAATTGTAAAAACATCGTTCCAAATTCTTTCGCTTTTTTGTTTTTCGATGCGATAAACCGATAAGGCGGATTATATCCGTTGTTGCCAAACTCGAGCACAAGATATTATTATTGAGACAGGGCGGTACTCAAACTTCCAAAGGGCTATAACTTTGTTACTTTAATTTTACCAGAAAAATGGTAAAGGAAAAAAACATTTATTTTGATCTACTCACTGTTAAAATAAATGACTCAACTTCGAAGTCACCCTGTATAATATATGTTATTTTTTAAAGATTGCTGATAATAATTTGAAATTAAAATCCTAAGGTAAGACACTTTTTACTTACCGGTCTTTGGATTCCTGCCCCCGAATTCTCCCTTAACCACATTCTTCCTGTCACCATCAGCATAATGGTACGAATCTGGATTCGTATATCCAAATTCGTAAGAACCATCCTTGTACAAAGTGTTATATTCGTCCTCTACACATATCACTTGATCCAAAATGGTCGCAAAAATCAAACACCAACAATAATTCTACAAAAAAATCCATTTTGTAACACCACACTTCACTATAACCATCGCATTGCCACTTACGTCAAGTTGGAACATCTCAGAGCACCCGAAATTTCGGTAATATTGTCAAAAAGCTAAGATTCAGTCATTAAGAATTTACTAATTATTCTCAAATTTCCCGAAATCGTATACTGAAAACGAAAAATCCCAACAGTATCTTTTATACTCAAAGATTCATATAGTGGGGTAAATGTACCTCCACAAAAATTTTGTACCAAGCAAATTCATTGTTTTAAAAGTTATCTCAGTATAGTGGACCTTATTAGCAGTGGACAAGCAACCAATGAGAAGCCGGGATAGAACAATTGACTGTCTAGAGGAAATGCTTTGTAGTGTAAAGATCGAAGATGGCCTTGCCGATTTCATGGCACGCTTGAAAAAAGTTCAGGGGATATGTGGATTCCCAGTATGATACACGGTTATAATAATATTCGTTAATTACGAGATTTCACAAAAAAGTATGAATGAATATTGGTGTCTGCGGTGCTAGGTGAGAAGCTCATGAGATGTTTGTTCTGTTTTCTAGGCACCGCTGCTTCTATAAGGGGCTTAAACACATTTTGTTAATCCGATTTTTGAACAGCCCAATGGTAGTAGAACTAGAAAAAGCTTCCTGAGGCTGATTGTTCATCCTAGGGCCAAAGGTCGGTCGTACCGGCCAGTTCTGAATGTACGAAGTTTAACAGTTAGGATGGGAGGCCGCAGTCAGGCAGGCCCATCAGGTGGCGGCATCATAGAGTAGAGCTATTAGCAGTAGAAGAGGGTCAGTGCGATAGGTTCCCGAGACTCTTCCTTAAAGAAGAGTCGTTGGTCAGTATGACAGCTCTCCTCTGCATAGTATCGAACATGGGTAATGTAGTCGGCGTGGTAGCACTCCAAACATGTGAGCAGTACTCGAGGCTGGGTCATATCTGGGCTTTGTACAGTGTGACGAGGTGGAGGAGTTAGGGGATGTGTTCGTTCCAGATCAAGTTCTTGGTGATCTGGACTCCGACCAGCAATAATGAGCAGCTCTTTGGTAGGACTCGGCCATTCTTTGGAACCGGATGATTGCTAGGGCGATTCCTGTTAGTTAAGGTACAGTACTGTGTTTAGCAGGCATTGTACGAATCTTTGAGAAAAAGTTCGTACATACGAACATTGATCCAGAAATGTTTTGTTTTCGTGATAAGGATGATTTGACCTTAAAATCGGATGCTGCTTTTTCTTCATTCAAACCATAACTCACTATTTATACTAAGTGACATATAAATCCGAACACCCAGTTTAAATGGTTTTATTTTAATAAAATTTTGTATGTTATATGTACTTAATGAAGCATAATAAGTAAATGATAAAAATTTCAAAATGATTGCACTGCTTTAAAGCCCTTTGACCTTTAATAATGTGTGGATGCACTCTGATGTGCTACGCATTCTCCAACGCGCCTAGGCATGCTTCTGGTCAGGTGGTCAATGTCCTCCTGTGGTATCTCATTCCAGGCAACCACCAACTCCTCTCGAAGTGCTTCTAGAGTCTGAGGAGGACGTTGCAAATTGAGCAATCTCCTACCCATCATATCCCACACGTGCTCAATTGGGGATAAGTCGGGAGATCTTGGTGGCCATGGTAACAATGTGACATCATTATGTTGAAAGAAGTCTATTGTGACTCTTGCAACATGTGGTCGGGCATTATCTTGTTGGAAACTTGGATCTGCCAGGGTGTCAAGATAGGGTAACAGATGGGGTTCTAGAACTTCGTGTATATAACGCTGCGCGTTCATGTTACCTCTGATGAAGATTAAAGGTGACCTGGAACCATAAGCTATAGCACCCCAAACCATAACTCCAACAGTGTGATGAACATGTCTTTCAACAAAAAACTGTGGATTCCTCCTTTCACCACGTCGCCTTCTAACCCTGGCACGACCATCGTGCATGCCTAAACAAAATCGAGACTCGTCACTAAAGACAATACTGTTCCATTCCTGATCCCAGAGTGACCGTTGTCTGCACCACTCAAGGCGATTACGTCGGTGTTCTCGAGTTAAAGGGAGGACCCAGTGTGGCCGGTATGAAAACAAGCCAAAACTTCTCATTCGTCGGTAAACACTTCGCATGCCAATAGGTAGTGGAGAAACGGTCCCTTAAGGTCAATAATCTTAGGCGGCGATCTTCACGGTCTGTTGTTCTACGGCGGCGTCCAGTGCCCCTTGCTCTTTGCGTACGGCCTTCTCGAAGCCATGCCTGACAACACCTAACCACAGTGTCTACACTTCTTTGCACTCTAACTGCAATTGCCCGAAAAGAAAGTCCAGCTTCCCGAAGTCCCACTATACGGCCCCTATCAAACTCGCTAAGTTGACGAAATCGTACAGGTCTCCGTACTCTAGGCATCGTAACCGATCGTAAAGGATGTCAAGAACCAAAATCCGCCAACGTTGATTCTTTACTGCGGCTGAAATATTCATTTTTAGAGCGTTAGTGAATTCAAAAAAACCAGTATAAAAACCGGAATGTCCAACTGATAAGGCTGAACATTTTTTCACTTGTTATTTACAGTAAGATAAATACATCCACCAACTTTTATTAAAATAAAACCATTTAAACTGGGTGTTCGGATTTATAAGTGACTTAGTATAATTTCGAAGATGGCGCATTGGCATTAATAAATTTTCAGTCAATATTCAAAATCACTCTGACTTAAAAATATATACTCTTGTTAGCCAAAATAGGTTACGTACATATTTTTTAACATAAAGACAACTTTAGATGTTGAATACGCCCTTAAATATTTCTAACAATGTTTAGGAATACCCTGTACAGAGTTGGGTAAGTATACATGTGAAGTAAGTATCTAATTTCGTTATTTTCAGTCTATGTGAAACCCGCCTTAATTGAGAGATATTATTAGTGATAAAAGATGATTGAATATAACGAAGCTTCTGATAGAAATCTCAGCATCCTGGTGTGATGATTTAATAACATGTTACATTCCCCGAATGAACAGTTTTCTCAGCTAATTTGATTCAATTAATGAATTAATGCTGATGATAGTAACATGCAGAGTTTTGAGACCACACATTTTCTGCAGATTTCTTACGCATTAAAATACTTAAAAATCGAGCTGGAATACCACAAATGACCTTGGTTCTTGAAGGCAAAAGATTCTACTTCGCAGGCTGATGATATTTAACCCTCGTAGTTTTTGTTTTTGCAGAAAAAAATCTAAAATTTAGTGCTAAAATATTCAACAAAGCTCCATTTACATGTACCCACCGATAACGAGTCACCTCAAAGTCGCAAAACTCGCGTAGCTTTGCAAGTCTTCACTAAATTCGGATTCGGTCTCATCGACGCAGACCGCGTACGGTAGTGGTCCATTGAATCCCATTTCGACGTAATAAAGCCAAAAAAAGCTCATACAGGACTATGTTCAGCCCAAGTTAGTCCTTCAGGATAGCTACAAACAAGTACAACAAAAATATTCAATGGATCAAGTCAGCCAAACAGGCCCATATACTATTAGTACATATTCCTTAGTCGCCACTCATTTGATAACGCTATTTTCTTCCCTGTTCCAAGTATCGACAATGTGGCAACACCGCTAGACCACGCCAGTCAAACATGTCATAGGCTCCAGCCACGATACTATAACAACCCTGCCGGCAATGGTGCCACACGCAAGGCCGGGTTCGGATGGAAGTCTCCGTTGCATGGTATCGTCCCGACCGGCCGAGTGTTCTCGAAGTTATAAGGACAAATGTACGGGAAAATCATTGATGTGTGGAATATGTGAAATTACTGAGGTTGGTCCAGCTAAATGGCAACGTAGCCTCTTCTCGATACCTGACACGGCCACACGCTGCCACACCTTAGGAAACAGTCTGGAGCAGACGCGGTCGGTAGGTACGCGATCTGTCTGCTGGGAATGTCTTAAAGGCATACGGAGAAATCTATCATGTGCTAAATGAGTCTGATAGGTGCTTAGAATTACCTAGATTGGGAGCGTATAAATACACAAGTATCCCTACCAGGGAGAATACGTTTTTTGAGTCAAAGAAAGCAAATCTGGAACCAATTTAGTCTGGCACTTTCCATGTCTCGATTTCGTGTCAGAAAAATGTTTAAAAATCGCATTCACACTTTCTTTAGCCCTTCTAACACCGAAAGCATCTCTGGAATTTTGATGATATTCTGAAGCAAGGTTAGTACGGTGTCAAAGTCGAAAAAGCACGGTGGAGTTTTGAGCGAACACGAATTTTTTTTTGTTTTTCTGTGTTTTGCTAATTTTTTATTTTATAATAAAAGCGATTTTCGCACACGTAGTTGATGAAACAATTATGATAAATCGAACTTTCGTAATGTGGGTATCATAAAACATAAATATGCATAAGACTTAAAAAACATACTTGAAACCATTGTAGTGCCGCAGGATTTTCCTTGCACAGTGTGTCGAAATTTGAAATCTCGGTCCCATCAAAAAATACATAGTTCATAAAGTATTGTAATGTATGTATGTCTCTGATTGAAAAGGCTGTTACGAATTTATGTACTTAACCTTGTCAGCACAAAGGGAAGTTTCGACATTAAGACGTTTCTTATCTTCAAGAAAATCGGGCTATTGTTATCGATGGTAATTATTCAACAATCCATCACCAGAAGCTGTAATTATTATCTCTGTATTTTTTGTGAAACTTTTGGTGAGATTACGAAAGTGATAAATGGGAATCTAGATTTGTTTCGATGTTTTCTGTAAAATTGGAGATGAATTAACCTTGCAGAATACTAGAAACTGTTGTGAAACCTCCAATATAATGTTGTATTGTCTTCACCAGTTAAGTAAGTGCTGAATCAGTCATTCTAAGCCATCATGGAAGATAAGCATTTAGCAATAGGGTTATTTCTTGTCCTTTCCAAAGCACATGACTGGTTAAACCATAACCCAGAATTTCCCAAACTTTTTTGTGTCGTAGACCCCTTGCCATGCTTTTCCGTGTTGGGTAGACCCCCTACTTACCTGATATTGATTTCCTGTAAATTTCTAACTGTAGTGAAGTTTAGTGTTAAAAACTTAAAGTAAAACACATGCTAATTTATATATTTATTAATTGAATTTAAATTAAAACTACTCAAAATAAAATTTTGTATCTGTTATGTAAAATATAAGTAACATTAAATAAACAGGTGCCTGACCAATAAGTGCCCGCATTGGGAATAAGTGCCCGCATTGAAAGAAAAATAAGAGCGATGAAATAAAAAAAAAAGTGAAAAACAATAAAAAAAAAGTTTTTTACTTGAAATAGTACAATAAGCGAGTTCGTTTATTAATTATAACATAAACGTATGTTCTACAATAATTTCACTGTTAGTTTGATTAAATTCCGCTTCTTATACGTTTAAATTATCTAAAAATAGGCAAAAAATTTACGAATTTTCAGAATAATTTTTAAAAAAATATATGTTCTGTAAAGAAATCAATGCGGGCACTTATTCTCAACGCGGGCATTTATTGGTCAGACACCAATAAACATAAAATAAACTATAAATAAAATAACATAAGCAATAAGTCAATATTTTTAGTGAGAAGGATGAACCTGATGCTTTAATAATAATTATCAACATTTGGCGTCAATTTTGCAAGGGTTAATCTTAAATCTCCTCGGCTAATGATGTCCAGTCTGTTTCTTTTTTTTTCGTTAGGAGATTGATAACAGCGCTGAACCCCCTTTCCACTAGGTATGACGATGGAAAGGAAATTAAAAATTTCCTCGCTATATTCCATAATACGGGATAAGTAACGGGTATGTTGTTTTGCAGCCAGATTTGCTGATATCCGTTTTTAAACTGAACCTTAAGTTCTTCGTTTGTACTTAGTTCAGTCAGTTCCTCTTGTATTATGACATTCGCTTCTTCGATGTCACCATATGGATTAATTATTTATCCACGGTGGTATTACCATAGTCAAAATATCCTCAAACCTAGATTCAAAATCTGAATAGAGGGCATTTAAATGTTGAACGTAAGTTGAAACGTCGTCTTCCTGGCAGCTTGTCTGTGACAAATTGGGGAACTGAGAAAATTCGCCCCGTCCAATATTTTGCTTCATTAGTTTAACTCTGGCAAGAAACGCTGATAAGATGGACTTTGTTTTAATCAAATTTAAACTGTCGCCTTGTAATTGCAAATTAACCATATTAAATTTTGTAAACAAATCTGTTAAATAGGCGATGTCTGTTTTCCTCTTCATTAAATTTTCTTTTAAAATTTCATCTTTAGTATCCATAAATTCTAAAATAGTCTCAAAAAGTGCAAAAAATCTTGTCAAACATAAGCCTTTCGACAGCCAGCGTACTTCAGTGTGAAGGAGTAATTGATGAAAGTGTTCGTCATTTTCTTCACATAACTGCGCAAATTCGTATTCGTATTCAACGCGTTGCTTCGGATTCGGTTTACTGCATCAATGACTAAATGAAGTGATTCATGCAATCTAACACTCAAATTTTTAGCAACTAAATGTTGTCGATGGATGACGCAATGTATTGCTAACACCCCTGACACATTTTGTTTTAAATAGCTTATAAATCCACGATAACGTCCAACCATGGCAGGTGCTCCATCTGTAGCTACTGATATTATATTTGATAAAGGAATTGCTTTTTCAATGAAGTAATCCTTCAAAACATGAAATATTGATTCACCTTTAGTGTCGGTTATCAAAGTTCTTGCGAAGAGCAGTTCTTCGTAGATTTCTTGATTCATAATAAAACGAACATATGCCAATAATAATGCTGCATTATCAGGTAAAGTTGACTCGTCCAGTTGTATAGAGAAATGGGTCGTTTGCAAATAATTACATAAGAAGCATTCAATATCAGAACTCATTTCATCAATACGTCTTTCAACAGTATTGTTGCTTAAGGGAATTCTTTTAATGATATCAGATGCAGGTTTGTGTAAAACAGTTTTTAAAACCTCTTCAACGGCTGGCAAAATTAACTACTCTCCGATAGTATGCGGTTTTCCGGATTTTGCTATAAGTAACGAGATATTGTAAGACGCCCGCAAACCATCATCATTTCTTTGTGACGTCAAAGCAAACATTCTGTCCAGTGTAGGTCTCTTCTGAAATTTATCTTTGAATGTTTGAAAGTATTTCAAATCTTTCTCTGTTTTATCAGGGTGGCATCTTCTCAGATGATCTTACAGTTTAGATGGTTTCATAGCGTCATTGCCCAAAAATTTGTTGCATAAAAGGCACATAGGCGATTGTTTGTCCGGCAATGATGGAATGAAGCCAAATTTCAAATAATCAACACTGTACTGTCTACATTTCTTTTTAGATTCGGACATGGCATCAGTCATCTGTGGGCAAAATTAAATTATTTAAATAAGACAGAAAATCCAGCAGCTGTATATTAAAAATATTTTTTGATTTTTCCGAAAACATTCCATAATTCGAACATCTTCTAGCAAGAATTAGCTCGAATTACAGAGATTGCACTGTAATTATATTACCGATTGCTAAAACTTTCAAAAAGAAACTATTGAGGAGTACTCGTGTAATTTTGCGTGATTGAATATTTAACTACTAATAACTAAAGTCATGATTGGCGTAATTTATCTATCTTTGCTAACTACGAGTACACAACTAAAATTTAATAAGAATAATGTACTTACTTTTCTCCAGCACCCTCAAACAAAATAACACTGATACCATAATTTGTGTGATATACTATCTGTTTATATTTTTTAAAATATTTTCTTAGCACTTTCCTTTTCAAGATTCAGGAAACGAATAAACGTATTTGTCCCACATTCGTATTTATAGAGTGACGAATTGAACAAGTCAGTGCAAGGTAGCGAAGCTCTGAGACTGCGACTCTCAGGTTTTTACAAGTTCAAAATGTATTGCGACCACAAAGCGAATACCAACATCCTACAACTTACACAATTTTATAAACATACATAATAAATTTTTTACTTCATAGGTACTTTTATAAATAATGTATATGTTTTGATATTGTAAGATAGTATGATGTAAGTAAATAGGTACTATCAGTGTATGTGTTGAGATCCACTATCGTGCACCCCCGTATTCATTTCATGGACCCCCAAATTTTTTTTCGCCGACGTAGACCCCTTGCAGGTTGTCATAGACCCCTAGGGGTCGATATAGACCACTTTGGGAATCAATGGGCTAGACGGACATTTTTTGTGATAAAAGTCGCTGTATATGTATATATTTTACTGTTACAGATTGAACACATTCCAATTATTGTGCTGTACCTATATTGTGATTTAACCTGTTAAAATGTTTTGTAATTGTAATGTCCTTATTTATTTTATATTTATAAGTATTTTTCCGGCATATTTGCTCAATATATGACCCTCAAATTCATATTGACAAGTCTTATATCACGTAACATGGTCTAATAGGACACTAAACTATCTATCTATCTGATATATTCGGGGTCGGCAAAAAGTGCCAAAGATAGCCTTCTTACTAGGCTTCGTCCACCATTACTACTTATTGAAGCTATCACAATTTACTGTTTAAAAGCGTTTTGCTAGACATACGTCGAAAATAAATATTGTTTTAAAGTATTTCATCTAGAAGCGTTGACTTTGATGGATATATCCTCACATTAAGTCCTTTTAATTAAAAAAACAATGCACACTTATTCGGCCAATTTACTTGAGTATATAAATAAAAACCATGGGTGTCTCTCGAAAATGCATCACCTTGTTAGAGTCTCTCCGAGGAACAATAGAATTAGCAATTATACAATTCTTTTATCAGATTCAAGACTGCTGATACATTGTTAATGTAGGACAG